CACCCGCGGTGACGCACCGTCCCCCGACCTCCACATTCGCCTGTTTATGGCTGACGCGCTTATGGAGCGCGCATCTGCTACTTGCCAATGGATTGTCGATTCCGGCGCATCCGTCAACATGTCGTCACGTCACGACTGGTTCGTACATTACGCGGATCTCAGTCCTCCGAGACGCGTATGGCTCGGAGACGAGCGATACATCCTCACCGTAGGCATCGGCCAGATTCCGGTCGAACTAGCAGCGCAAAAGGGTCAGAGAATTCCAACGGTCATACAGGGTGCATACTATGTCCCTGAACTGAATGGGAATCTCCTTTCAGCTTCCAGACTCACGGACCGCGGATACATTCTTTCATTCCGCGAGAACACCTGCGAGATCTCCCATAATGGCGAAATCGCCGGCATTGCCCGGAAAGCAGATGGCCTGTACATTCTCGACTCGACCCCGCATGGCCAAGCGCGAGCCTATGTCGTGCACACAGATCCATACACGGATCATGATGACATCCCACTTATGGCTCTTGCAGCCAAGGAAACGACATCAAAGGCGAACGTCGAGACCTGGCACCGACGACTCGGACACATCAGCATCGAGTCGGTCCTGAAAATGGTGCAAAAAGGGATGGTCAGCGGGATGAACATCGTGGGCAGCACAACTCACGATACAGCAGCCTGCAAGGCCTGTCTTGAAGCGAAGCAGGCCCGCAACCCGATTCCAAAGCAATCGGATGTGGAGAACCCTCGCATTCTCCATCGTACCTTCTCCGACGTCTGCGGTCCTATGCCGACCCAGGCGAAAGGCGGAGAACGTTATTTCATAACGTTCATTGACGGCAAGTCGCATCACCTCGTTGTCCACCTGATGAAGACGAAGGACGAAGCCCTCCGCCACACCAAAGCATATTTCGAGCGCGCCGAGGCAGAAACGGGCAAACGCGCCAACATCCTGCGCAGCGACGGCGGTGGTGAGTATGGTTCGCAAGACTTCAAAGCTTACCTCGAATCCAAGGGGATCCATCACGAAACCACCAACGCCTACACGCCGCAGGAGAATGGCGTCGCGGAGCGCATGAATCGCACGATCGTCGAAATGGGCCGTGCGATGTTGCAAGACAACGGACTACCGAACTCGTTCTGGGGATATGCGGTACTGTACGCCGCGCACATCCTCAATCGGGTGCCAACCAAGGCTCTCAAGGATGACATAACGCCTCATAAGGCCTTCACAGGCAATAAGCCCTCCGTGGCACATATCCGGACCTTCGGTTGCACAGCACACGTCCACATCCCGGACGAGAAACGCCGCAAGCTCGATCCCAAGTCGGTCGAGTGCGTTTTCCTCGGGTACGCGCAGAACCGCAAAGCGTTCATCGCTTTTGACCGCAAAAGTGGGCGCACGTACGAATCACGCGATGTCGTATTCGATGAGGGTGAGAAGACTCGCGTGGTAATTGACCCTGAGCCTCGGCTGCCTGAGACACAGGGCGAACCATCAAGCAGACCTGCTGATGCTCCCGAAGTCCCTCTCGAAGATCGCGACGTACACATCGAGACCGTCACCGACGACGAGGATGACACGGCACCCTCGCCCAGCCGCCGCGCCGTATTGCCGCACGCACTCGCACGCAGTCCCTCGCCTCCTCCGTCGCCGAAACGCGATGTTAAGGAGGACAACTCACCTAATCGTCCCATCAACCCCCCTCAATCTCGCACTCGAGCTCATCCCGCAGCTGCTCCCCCTGCCTCTACTTCAGCTCCAGAAGGATCAACCCATCATTCTACACGTGCGCGCCGAGCGCCGATCCGCGATGACGACCCAAGGTTCTCAGTCAGCGCATACCGGCCAAAGACGATCGGAGAGAGCCTCAAGGACAAGAAGAAGCAGGGAGCAGAACAGATAGTCGAGGCAGAGGACGAAGGGTCGCCGAGATGGACAGAGACACAGGTGGGAAAGGGGGACGCCGAGGAGTCCGCGGACGAAGTCGAACGTGCGCTGGATGCAGACGCCTACCGCGCGTCTACGGACGAAGATCCACTCACCTACGAAGACGCGATGTCCCGGCCGGACGCCGAGCAATGGAAGGCTGCGATGGCCGAAGAACTTGCCGCGTTCGTCAAGGCCGAGCTTTACGACGAGTGCGACCGCCCACGCAACCGCAAGATCGTCGGCTCTAAGTGGGTCTTCAAGCGCAAACTCGGTCCTGACGGCGAAGTCACGCGATACAAAGCCCGCCTAGTAGCCCAAGGCTTCACGCAGGTCGAAGGCATCGATTTCAACGAAACGTTCGCACCTGTCACGAAATTCGCGTCCATTCGGACGCTCCTCGCTCTCGCTGCCAAGCTCGATCTCGAGGTCCATCAAATGGATGTTAAGTCGGCATTCCTCAATGGTGACCTCGAAGAGGAGATCTACATGCGGTGCCCCCCGGGTTTCAAGCCAGCCGGTGATAAGGTTTGGCGACTCCGCAAGTCCCTCTATGGCCTCAAGCAGGCCAGTCGTGAATGGTACAAGCGCGTCAAGGCCGAATTCGAGTCGCTCGGCTTCACAAGAAGCAACGCGGACCACGGCATCTTCTACAAGAATGCCGATGGTAAACTTCTCATTGTGGCGGTCTACGTCGATGACATGCTGATCCTATCAGACGACTTGGAACTCATCAAACGACTCAAGGCCGACCTCTCCGCACGCTTCGAAATGACTGATCTCGGCGAGGCCCATTGGATCCTCAACATGGAGATCACACGCGATAGACCATCACGCACCATCGAGCTCTCGCAACGCCAGTACGTCGAGAGCATCCTGGAACGCCACGGCATGTCCGACTGCAAGCCGGTCAGCACGCCAATGATCCAGAACCAAAAGCTGCTCAAGCTCACCGAGGCGGAAATCGACCCCACACCCTATCAGAGCGCTCTCGGGTCGCTCATGTACGCCATGCTTGGTACGCGCCCAGACCTTGCCTTTGCAGTGGGCGCATTGAGCAAGCACGCAGCAACCCCTGGCAAGGAGCATTGGATTGCACTCAGACGCGTCTACTGCTACCTCCGGGGTACATCCGACATGCGACTTGTGTATCACGGGAACGCAGAGGAAGACCAACCGCACGCCTACGTCGACGCTGACTGGGCATCTGACGTGAATGATCGCCGTTCCGTCACAGGGTATGTTTACCTCTTCTCCGGCGCCGCTATCAGCTGGTCGTCAAAGAAGCAATCTTCGATTGCTCTCTCCAGCACAGAGGCTGAATACATGGCAAGCACATCAGCTACCAAGGAAGCCATCTGGCTCCGCATTCTTTTAGATGAACTTAGCCAAATTAGTTCTTCAAAACCTACTCGCCTACACATCGACAACCAGTCAGCCATGGCTCTCGCAAAGAACTCAGCATTCCATGATCGTACGAAGCATATTGCGGTACGCCATCATTTCATTCGAGAGAAGTTGGACGAAGGGGAAATCGATGTGGAGTACACACCAACCGATCAGCAAGTTGCAGACGTGTTGACGAAGGCTCTCGGTCGGGTCAAGCACAAGCAATTCGTTGAAGGAATGGGGTTAGTGGTTGGGTAGGTCCGCATTCCCACTGAGTGGGCGTGTTGGAAGTCCTACGGACTTGTATGTTCAGTAGGACGCGGACTTAGTAGTTTCAGCGCGCGTTCGCTTACATAATCACGTAGCTATGTCGCGCCTGAGCGCTTTTGTCACCTCAGCACTCGCTTTATTCATTCGAGGCTGAGGTGAGCACTATGGACTCTATATCTATGTTTTTTACTCACATATTGTAGTCACTCTTTACTTCCGTGTCCTACAGGTATTTTATACAGCACTCGCTTTATTCATTCGAGGCTGAGTCACTCTTTACTTCCGTGTCCTACAGCCCTCGTAAATTTTCACCTCGGACAATAAAACGCTTCTGTTCCGTCGTCTGCTCCTTTTTTTGCTTTCGAAACGGATGATGGCAACTGGGCCCCTATGACACGGCCCTGGTTCCTAAACCATTGTAATGCCATCTGGACCTCAGCCGGTCTGTGTTCCATGACTGGGCACTCATTCCGTATAGGTGGCGCAACTGAACTGCTTCTCCATGGCACGCCGCCGGATGTCATTGCCGTGCAAGGGCGGTGGAAGTCGCACGCCTTCTTAGATTACCGGCGTCGCATCGAGCAAATCCTTCCTGTTTTCATTACAAATTCATTTGATCGTTCTCGTGTAGACCTCGTCCGGACCTCTGTAGCAAAATTTCATGTGAAGTACTCTCATTAGAGTGACGGTACTCGTGTATCACTGTATCCTACTGTATCAAACCAGCTGTTGTGCTGATTTTCCCAGTGACCCGGTGTGGGGGAGTCGTGGCGTCGAAGGCAGCATGACTGTTGTGGGTCGGGTGTAGTCGTGCCTCCCTCGTCAGGCAGCTACGCAGCCGCTGTACGCTCGAGAGTTTCGGCCCAAACGCGCTCGGAAGCCCTGGATCGTCAGCCAGCGAATCAGGAGCCTGGCCATGTTGCCAGGACCCCGGACACTCGCTATCCAGACCCTGAGCATCGCTCCTCGCGTGGATGCACAAACCACGCATTCGCCCGGCCGAACCCTCTCCCCCCAACACACCGTCGTAGCACTTAGCATTGCCCGGCTCACTCTTCCTTACCTCGCAAGCAACCGCTCAGCTTAGGAAGCCGTGATTTGGGACCCCTCAAATATGCTATTTTGCGACACTCATAAGGGTGAGTTGCCGGGGGCCTGCTCGACAGCTAGCTGCTACATGAGAACCCAGAAGTGCCATTGAAGCCAATCACGAAAGGAATACAGATGGAGGTTCCTCCTGAGATCTGCACAGACATGCTGAACGAGAGATACAATTTCACAATTGCGAACGAGCTCCGGCGACAGACGATCAATAGCTTCCGAGCTGGATCACTCCTTCAAGGCTTTCAAGTTGCATAACCTCTAATTGCACCGTAAAACTGCTTCCTGGACGAAGAAACTGGAGATATGGACGATTCAGATGCATGCAGCGGACCACTAGGCACACGAGTCCCCTGGATATCGGCGAAATAGTAGTCGCTAATAAGTTTGCAGAAATACCGGTGAGTGACGTGAGCCTTCATACGGACGACAGCTTCTTGTAGCTCTCGTATATGCGAGAGTGATGGGCGCCATTCTATCGGGCTTATAAGCTCGGATCTCATGCGATACGCGCTGTACCTTGCAGTTCGCCCTGGGCCGGAGGCCATTTGCAAGGTCAATTAGTCATCAAGAACGGACTCATTTTCGGCACAGCTGCGGTACCGGGTAATCTTTGTCTGCCGGCGCGGAATGAAAGGTTCTGGAGTACACGTACGATGCTCACGCTCTCTGTACTCGGCTTGTACTCGGACATTTACAGGGTCAGTCTCCTGGCCTAGAAGCTGCAGATACCGATCAGCTACATATGTCTAAGAAATATACGGAGCCTCTCACCGGAAAAAAAGAGGGACATCAAATTCTCATACTAGTAGGTCTATCTCTCATCGATCGCCAGACCACTATGGTGCCAGACATGTTCGTGTCAATTCTGTGTTTCCCATGTCACTGTCTATAACGGCAGGCCAGTTGATTCCATATCCTCGCTGCTGGGGATCGCCCGGTTTAACGATGTGTGCGCGAGCTTTCACATCAACGAACTGGCCGAATCGCCCGTCCCAACCACCACGTACGAAGAGCCAGAGCCAGAGCCGACGCGATGCGGGTCAATCTTCCCGATAAACACCACAATCGCGACCTCGTTAATCCTCCTCGCGAGGAAACAATCATTGCTCTAGCAATATGTGTCATTAGACGTACTGCCAGTGGGGCAAATGGGAAATGCTATGTACGTCGGTGACGCGTGCACTTTCTTCACCTCCTCTTCGAGAGGACCTACAAATACCGACGATGACCGCGGTTCCCGCAGCGGAAAGACCGCCTCAGCAGTCTAGCAAGGACATCTCAGGAGACCGAGGATGTATGGCGACAAGTGGCTGTTAAACGCAAGACCTATGAGCGCCAGAGAATGACTCCATTGAGACCTTGATTGTCCTTACTAGATGCCACTTTCCTCCCATTTGTTTCTATCGAGCCGCACGATGCAGAAATC